AGTGTAAGGGCACCGCGAGGAGGTATGACCGTCCAAGCGGCAGTGCAAACACCCATGCCGGCCCAGAATGGCCGCGCGCTCCTCAGGGGAAAGGACACCACGAGGAGGGAYGAAGCCCTSAGRGAGGTCCTCCTKARGGACCTYGGGGGGCGGCGTGCCAGCGTGACTGGGGCGGCTGCGTGCCCGAGAGAGGGCGRAGAGCGCGAGTTGAAGGCGCTCAGCTGCAGGGAGGGTAAAGTCCTCCAAGTGATAGTGGACGGCCTCRCAGAGATCGAGGTCGTCGTTGTGGTCGCCCTMAGGTGACAGTGGGGCAACACCGTCCTGCTCACCATACTCCAKCGCGCTGAAGCGGCGCGAGAAGTGGCGGCCCTGCTGCGTGGAACGGCGGGGGCGACCGCAGAAAGGGGAACGGCGCTGGGAAGTGTCGTGAGAGGAGGAGGAGGCGTAGCCCGTGCGCTGGGGCTGGGAGGAGGAGGCAGGGTGAAGACGGGCTCGCATCCGATGATGGTCCCTGGCGGCCTCGTAAGCCTGTGGGCCCGATGTGAACTCGTACCGCCATAGCTCGGAACGGTACTCGAGCGGAAGGCTGGCCAAGAAACGATCGATAATGGCAGCCTCGGGGAGGAACGCCACGTCGCAAACGAGGCGGGCGTCCTGAAAGACCTGGATGTGGCGATCCAGGCCGGCAGCGCCATCAGAGTCGGACCAGCGTGTAGTGACGACACGCTCGAAGGCGTCATTCACGTCGTATCGGGCTCCGAAGCGATCCTCGAGGAACGCCTGGAAATCCACGAAGGTCGGAGTCCGACCCTCACGAAGGGAGTAGSCATAGAAATCCTCCCAGGCCTCGAAAGGACCGCCATGCAGGCGCGTGGAGAGGTGACCCACCCACGTCTCAGGTGTGGCACCCATGAGCTGGAGTGTGCGGGTGGCAGACTGCAGCCACTGAGACACGCGTATGCCTGTACCGTCATACAAGGCAATGTCCGACAAGCGGATGAGTGGTGCGGGGGTGGTTGAAGTCGTAAGAGGGCGAGGTCGGCCCGGAGCTGGGCAATCTCGTCCGCGAGACCTCGAACATAGGTCGATCGAGGGGTGGCAGGAGGAAGAGTGGAGGGGGTGGACGCACAAGCGGCGCGGGGCATCCCATAAGGGGGAGAGCCAGATGGCGCTGCGGTCGTGTGAAGGGGAGGGAGAAGCGGGGCACCCGAAAAAGCTGAGACAATGGTAGCGGGTTGTTGTACCGTGGCCGTAGTGACCGGGATCTGGGCGGGTGCGCCTGTAGACTGAGGGGGGCCTGGCTCGTGGCGGCCGTCGTGCTAGGGGCGTGGACAGTCACCAAGATGGCCGGGTCAGGGGCAACGGAGGAGGAAGCTCCGCCGTGGCCACCCTGTTGGAGGACGGGGGACCCAGACTGGGAGCCAAGAGATGACGGACACGCAGCGTCCTGGAGTCGCTGCATGCCGGCGGCAAGGGTCGCCACTTGCGCCTGTAAGGGCGCGAGGGCCGCGAGTTGCGCCTGGATGGGCACAAGGGTCGCGAGTTGCACCTGGATGGGCGCAAGGAGGGAGGTGAGGAGGGTGTGTAGATCCCCCTAGGGCTGATGGCCCTGGTCCGCCGGCACGGGTGTGGAGCCCGATGCCGTGGTCATCGCCGTGTCGGCGGCGTGTGACGCACCGTCGACCATGGGGAGATGACGGACCGGACAGGAGGGGGCCAGAAGAGGTCCGCGTGAGCGGAGGGCGTAGGGGGAAGTCCGCGGTTGAAAGCGGCGAACGGCGCTAGCAAGGCTAGCACGGGCGCCGTCAAGG